CTTGTCGTTTAATATAGAAACAAAACATAGACACTTTGATGTTTACCGACTCGAGACGGGACATTGAAAAGTCTCCGAATTTTGAAACAACACAAAATTGAGACAAAAATGTCGTAGAAATGTATTGGATTTGTCGCAATTTTGTCATAAAACATGAATATTTCTGTTTTGTCGTTGTTTTGTCTGCTTGGTCTGGACCCGGCATTAGAGTTGTACAAGACAATAATTTTTAACATTTCTTTCATAATGGGTGGGGAGGAGCATCATAATTAAAGTCATATTAGAATTACTCTATTGATGCGAGAGTCACTATATTTAAATTTTCTAACATGTCTTGTAAATTGTTTTCAAAAAAGTTCACCGGTCAACGTATCCTCGAAAATATATGGTTCACATACAAGATGCGAGTTAAACCAATAATCCACAAGCTTTTCTTCATTTGAAAAATTGATATTTGCAATTTAGTTTTGTCTCGACGAAATATTTTTATTTGGTAAACAGTTTGAAACCTCTGAGAGCAATGACGATTGCACTTGTCCCATGGCTAACTAAACGAAACTGTTTAAAAAAGATAAGAATTTGCTATAATTCAGTAATTTTTCGAAAAAAGATATTAACGCTTATATTGCTGGAAAGTTTAAAAAATGGCACTTTTTATGAAGTCATGACAAACTATGGTTTCCATTTAAAAAAAACATATATTTGTGTCATATGTCAAAAATGACAGGCTTTAGAAAGAAAGAATTGGCGCCGGGAGGCAGGTATAGCCGCCCATACTAAAATGTGTTAATATCTCGAAAACTGCGACTGATTTTGATGTTATTACAAATTTTGTTGCAAATATTATTCCTAATCTTAATTTGAAAACCGCGTTTCGCTAGCTACTGTAATTTTGGAGTTACGATTTTTTAAAATTTTTAACCCCCTCCCATACCCCCTTACCAACCCCCCACCTCCACCAAAAACTAATGGCCAGATTCTCGGGTGCCACAGTAATTTTGAGCCAAATTTGGTTAAAATCGGTTCAGCGGTTTTTGAGTTATCGTGTTACAGACGGACAGGATGTGATTATCTACAACTTTCATCTGAAAACGTTTTGTCTAAAATAGATTATAATGGAATTAGGAACAATTTTTAAAATAGCCGAAATTTGTTTTTTCGAAATATCTAGTAAGCCATACATTTTTTAAAAAATCTGATAGGCGCATATGTTTGTCCTCACAAAACTGCAATTCTTTCCCCAGTTCTTTAAATTTGGCGTGTGTATTCAGCATACGCGGTTCTTTAGAAACCCTGTTTACAACTTTGCTGTAAAATTAACAGGGAAGCCAATATCTGGACAGATTTCACCCGATAGAATAAAAATTGCTTAGAATTTACTTATTGTTGCGGACCGGTGTGGACTCGACCTAACCTAACTATATAGCCCGCCCTCAGATGACCTTACCATCGGAAAATAACGGAAAATTCTCAAAAATTAGACGACAACTTAAACAATTTGAATAGTAAAATAACTGATTTGGAAGTTAATTTAGAAGATAAGATCGCTGAAAAAAAGACATACAGGCCAGCTTCAATAATAAAATATTGAATTTAGAACAAAGTTTATACAACAAGATAACAGAAAACTCCAGGGAATTAGAAGAAAAGATAATAGATACACAAGACAAAATAGCACAGATTGAGGACGATGTTAACAGAAAAATCGAAAAAAGAAGAAATAGCGGAGTCGAATTCACCAAAATGTCAAGAAACATCGGAGGGACCGAAACTAGTCGAAAATAGGTATACCTCAAAATCAGTTATGAAACCTCCGCAGTTGGAAAAACCGCCTGAGCCAATTATTTTTGCCAATTTGAAGCCGCTGCGAGAGCGAACGGCTGGACAATCGCTGAAAAAGCTACTGCTTTGACTATCGCACTGCGAGGAGATGCGACTGATATCCTGCAGACACTGTCACCATCGAAACAGGGAGATTATCAGCAATTGGTACGACATTTAGAAATGAGGTACGGCCAAGCTCATTTGGAACATGTCTATCATTCCCAGCTAAAAAATCGCATTCAAAAGGCAAATGAGTCTCTGCAGGAGTTTGAAGCCGACGTAGCCCGCCTCGTTCGCCTTGCGTACCCTGCTACGCCCGAGAATGTTATGGAGCGGTTGGTAGTACAGGCATTCTCCGACGGCTTACGTGACAACAAGACAAGACAAGCACTTCTCCTAGCCCACCCAACGCACTTGGTGGATGCTTTAGCACGTGCCCTAGAATTTGAGGCCGCGAAACAAAGTTCTCGGTCTCTAGGAAGAGTACGGGCCATCGACGAATGTTCCGACGAATCCGTGGAAGGGATTGTTCGGAAGGTAATGGACCAGTACATGGGCAAGAAGGGACCGATTCGTTGCTGGAACTGCGGACAGGTGGGACACGTGCGAAGCCGTTGTAAGGAGAAGAACGAAGAACCGGCTTCGTCGAGGTCGGAAAACTACTAAGGGTCGAAATGAAGGGGCACACGTCGACCTGTACCCAACATGCCCCAACGAAAACTGCTCAAGTCGCCTCGCTACAACACAAATTCAACAGCATTTTTGTGGATGGTTTTGTTGATGGAGAGTTCCGGACCATGCTGTTGGATACAGGTGCGACGAAAACTATCATCAGACCGGACATTCTTAAAACATCGAAGAAGGTTAAAACAACACAATGGCGACTACGTACTGCTACGGAGGGCTCCGCTGCTGTCCATGGAGAAGTAAACCTTAATTTTGTTATTGGGAGCACCAGTTTTGAACATCCAGTGTTAGTAGCAGATATCGAAGATGAACTTATTCTCGGAATGGACATTATGACCACTAAAGGTTTTGAACTAAACTTCAAACAGGGAATTTTGAAAATAAATGAAGAAGAAGTGGTTCTACATCGAAAATCTGAGGAGACGCTTCGCGTGGTGGCAACAGAAGATGTTTCGATCCCTGAGCGCTGTGAGATATTTTTTTATATATTTTTTTTATAAATTATGTTTTAAACAAAATAAAAATATATTTTAAGACAAGTTTAACACATTTATTCAAAATCCTTGCCCTGATTACGACATGCATATAATAATTAACCCCCTGAAAATATCGGAATGTTGCGTCACTGACTTTGCCAATCCGATAATCAGCCTCTCTAGCCTAGTTGTTTCCGCTGCACTTCCGTTGCATTTTCCTGTTGTTGCACACACAGTTAATGCACATTCCCGTTTCGACGGAAAGTCATTGCAGCCGTCGACAGATACAGATAGATCAAAAATACCTCAAACAGCTGCATGCCATTTATATAATTTACGTGCAGTGGAAGAAATTCGTGCCAAACGAACAAATCTCTGTAGCGGGAACGTTCGCTTGGTTAACCCGTTATATTATTAACCGAAAGTTGTATACGGTTTCCTTTAATTGAACATATCCTTTGATAAAATACCATACGGTCGGAAAAAAAACGGCGTCAAAGACGGCTTGGGAATCACAATCTATGATAATTTTGGCGAGGTCAAACCTTAATGTCTGTACACCCTAGAATCAACATGTATGCTAAAATTGAGCTTATTACGTTGAGTGGTTCGAGCAGGATCGTGATTAATCAGTCACTTAAGGATTTTATATATTAGTATAGATATATTTATATATATTTTTTATTTTTATTTCTAATGTTTATTCTGTATCTTTTTTAAGACTGTTATTCTTTAAGTATAATTAACATTAAATATATAAAAATCGGGGAAAGTTTTATGATAATTACGAACAATAAATCGCCCTCCATTGACAGAGCATGACGAATCCATTTCATCATAAAGAATTCCACGATGTTTTCCTTGAAATTTCTTTCTTAAATACCTTATTAACCGACAAAGTCGATACTAGGGGCAACGATATTATCGATAAGAAAAATGATCCAAGGCAAAGGAAAACAGACATTCTCATAAATTAATTGGGTTATATGGTGGATAAATAGCTAAACAGCTATTAGAATATAAATTACAATACCTACCGGAAAAATCGGCGGTGCAATTGCCGCAATTCTATGCACATTCGCTTTTCCAAGGCCGTTGCATAAGTACAGGGTGTTTCCGTAAGTGTATCACTTATCCCAGAGCCATTAGCGATTATTGAAATTGTTTTGAAACAGTAGAAACGGATATACACGAGAAAATATTATAGAGAAATCTATAAAAGTTGACATCATCAAAGAAACTTCTGTATAATCGAAGAAAAAAACGGCGTCAAGTTAGCTTTGAAATGACGATCAATGACTGCCTTCATTTCATAGCCATCGCTGACGTCGTTTTTTTTGCGATTATACTGTATTGCCAAATTAAATTTAATAACATATAAAAATTTGTTTTTCACATAGCAGCTGTTAAAATTGTCTTATATTTTTATCAAAAATAGTAGATAAAATAGTACTTTAACCGCAAAGGTAGATTAAATGATATTTTAACAGCAAGGATAGGTTAAAAACTTTATTTCTTCTCGAACGTTTTTTAATTGCTTCCATTTTTGAAAATGTTTGTATTCCTTTTCATAAGTTATTCGGGATTATTAGTTAAAAAACTTATTAATAAATTTATTTAATTAGAATTTGTTTGTGTAATAATTAGTGGAGGTTGATTCAAAATCTAGCCATGCACTTTAACTCATTTATTCCTTCTCATGATTGATAACTTGTTATAATACAGCATTCTGATTGGATTAATAGTTATCAGGCAATTATTCTAGTTTAATGACACTTGTTTATAAATTATTTTTATATAACACAGGGCGTCGAATGTATTTTTTTTTCTACTTCGATATATAATATAAAAAATAACGATAATCAGTTCAATCCAGCTGTGCTCAGCGCAGCAGAAATGGAAATCAGACGCGAAAGGCGTGGAATTCGCTCACTTTTTATGCGTTCTTATCATTAAAATTCATGAGCTTTACTATATTAATTAATAACAATAATTTCCTTTGTTCGTTTGCAGGAATGGTGGAGCGACAACAGGAAAGGCCCATTTCTGTTGGACAAATGAAGCCAACATGAACGAGTTCCTCGCCAGATTGTTCCTTGTTTTGGCCTTTGTGATAAAAGAAATATACGGTAATTCCCACAAAGTTTTATAATAGTCTAGGATTATAATTAATGTATAGGGGAATTTACTTTTAACAGAGTGACAATGAAAAAGTTGCCACAAATAGGGGTTGCCACGGTTCAATGTCGTTCCTCCTACTTTATACCGATCCGGCAACAGTGCATCGGGCAATTGTAGCTCCTTAATAAAAAACTTGCATGTATAAGGACGTATTTCAGAAAAATATTTTAACTTCTACAGGGTGGCTTGAAAAAGTGTGAATGGATCGGGATGCTTTTTTAAATGAAACACCGTGTATATTATTGCATTTTTGGCTTCGCTTCTGATCACTTTACATAAACCTAAAATATTATTAAATATATTTTGATAGTTTAAGAGATATTAATAGATAAATTATACAGTGGTGGCCAAAAGTATGGAAACTTTTTAATTTGTCATTTATGCTGAGAAATTAAAATATGAAATAAAACGACTTATATAATCGTGACCTACAAATAATTTCCTACAAAACCTAATACATTTAAATAAAAAATTACAGCTATCAAAAAATATATAAAAAATTATGAATATTTTCTTGGTCAAAAGTATGGAAACTTAAGAAGAATGTTTATTAAAATTCAAGATAATATAAAAATTACTATTATTTAGTGGAATATCCCTTTGAATTAATTACTTCTCTACATATTCGTGGCATCGAATCTATCAATCTCGTACAATCTTTACTGGAAATGGCCGCCAATTCAGTTTTTAGCACTTCCCATAATTCATTTTTATTTGAAATAGAATGGCTTCGAATTTTGCTATCCAAATGGTCCCATAAATTTTCTATGGGGTTAAGATCCGGAGACTGTGAGGTTTCCGATAAGTGGAACATTATGTTCATTTAACCAATTTTGAACAAACCGAGATTTGTGCTTGGGATCATTGTCTTGCTGGAACAACCATCTGAGTGGCATTTCTTTGTACAAAAAACGGTCCATTATCCCATCAATTTTAATAAGAGGACCAACACCTGAGCGAAAAAAACACCCCCATACCATTATACTCCCACCCCCATGTTTTACTGTGGGCATCTGGTACTTATGGCTGTACCGTGTACCTTTTGGTCTTCGGACATAACGTCTCCCGTCACTACCAAACAGTTGAAACTTGCTTTCGTCGCTAAACAGTACAGTATTCCATTTCTGATAAGACCAGGTGAGATGATCTTGAGCAAATTTAAAGCGGGCCATCCTATTTTTCTTTGATATTAGTGGTTTCTTCACCGCAACTCTTCCAAAAAGTCCCATGTCATCCAACCTTCTTCTCACCGTCCGTGCAGACACCGATATTCCCCTTTCACCCATTTCTCGAGAAATGTCTGTGGATGTTTCTTTTGGATCTCCCATTGATATTCTCTTCATTACTTTCATTGTCCTGTTGCACAACTTTCTTGGTCTTCCTGACTTAAAAGCTGTTGCAACGTTCCCTGTTTTATTAAATTTACGAATTGTTTTCGAAACGGTACCTTTTAAAATGATTAAATTTTTACTTATTTGAATTTGTTTATAACAGCTCTTGTTAATATAGATGATTTACCTGGTTCAACTATTTTATTTTTTAAATCCGTAGAGAAATATTTAGACTTGGGCATGATGTTTATATTTATCTGAAGCAAATCGTACCGTTTATCAGCTTAAACTAAATAATTTTAATGTATTTATTTATGGTTTCCATACTTTTGGCCACAAGAAATCTATTGTTCTCCTACAAAAACTGCTAAACATATTTTTTTCGCTGTGTAATTTTTGGAATACTTTTATTTGCTGATAAGCTGTTCATTTATATTCCTGAGAGTTTAAGCATAGCAATATTTTCTGTGATATTTTAAAAAGTAAAAAGTTTTCATACTTTTGGCCACCACTGTATATACAGGGTATTTCAAAACAAATGCGAAAAACTTCAGGAGGTGATTCCTTGTTCAAAATAAAGGGTAGTTTGCTTTATAAATGTTGGGTCAACAGTCAACCATTAGGGAGGTACAAAGATGGCGGAAAAATAATGTTTTTATTTTTTATCTTGAAAACGAAAGGCGATAGATTAATGAAATTTTATGGAAGCATTACTGTTATGAAAACATACTTTCTGGTAATTTTCTCACTTTTTAAAATGAGTGGAAGGGGTTGAAATAAACTACCCCTATCATTTTTGTTAACGAAATTTAAAAAAAATCTTATTAAACACATGCAAAAAAATTAATTTGAATAGTTTAGTTTGTTTAGAAACTTTTTTATCTCTTGTGTTTTTTTGATAAAACTCACCGATTTGAAATTAAAAAATAAAATGTAAAGCATATTATAAAGTTTATTTCAACCTGTTCCACTCATTTTAAAAAAGTGAAAAAATTACCAGAAAGTGTGTTTTCATAACAGTAATGCTTCCATAAAATTTCATTAGTCTATCTCTTTTCGTTTTCAAGATAAAAAATAAAAACATTTATTTTTCCGCCGTCTTTGTACCGCGATATCTCCCTAATGGTTGACTTTTGACCCAACGTTTATGAAGCAAACTACCCTTTATTTTGAACAAGAAATCACCCACTGAAATTTTTCGCATTTGTTTTGAAACACCCTGTATAAACTTTAAAAAAAAAAATATTAAAAATACAAGAAATGTCCTGAAATCAAAACTGTTCTAGGTATTTACTATAGTTGGTCTGTACTTACTTTGCTATAAATATCGTAATCTTAATGAACATTCTACACCCTGTATCTCCCAAACGAAGCATTTTAAGGCATGATTTTGCACGAACTTTTCTACTTATTTTTATCTGCAGATTATGCTGCCGAAGTACAATTTGGACCATCCCGTATATGATCCTTTTAATTTTCTATTATTCTCTTCATAGAATCAAACTATGCTCCATAAAACTCAAATAAAATAGACACTTAATCTGCTAAATTAACTCTTTCTTTTCAACTTTTTTCCTTCATTTTCTGTCTGACAAACGTTATTTAACTGAGATTTGAATCGAATCTGATCCTTTCCGCCGGACCCCAGACAAAAAAAGAAGCGTTTAACGAAATTTGTCATCGCGATTGCATCCTTCCACGCTCCGCAGCGTACCACTGATTAATTTTCTATTTATCTAGCTTCATCTTTCGCCACTCAACTCTCACAACCACACACAAACAAAGAGATCGAGTTTTTCTACTTGTCTGGCTTCTAAAGAATCAATAGATAAGAAAAAATGCATTATATAATGTTTTAATTAGTTAATTTTAGATTTTTTTTATTAAGTTTATTACGCTGTACTGTTCGGGTCGCTGAGGGGTCGGGTATAAAATCTGCCTAAGACTTAGCCCGATTCTATCGTGTTAAGCCATACCCAAAATTCCAAAGACACGTGCTTGGATTAAGGCTTGATTAAGCATTGCAGAGCTTTAGCATTTGCCGTAAAATAGCGAGCAGTTTGTTACAAAACAATATAAATTATATATCAGTCTAATCACAAAACTTCAATCTATTTCCGTATTGTAACGGAATTTTAAATTATGTCTTTATTTTCGAGAATATAATAATGTTAGGTATGGAGTATTTAATATCAAAGTTCATAAAATTTTACAGAGAATTTAAATATGTAATAAAGATATCGATTTAAAATAAGAAAGTTATTCTCAAAAGTTAACTTCAAAATATTTTTAATCAATAGATCTCGTTGTGAAACAGTGATGAGCAAAAAATCTCCGATCTAGATATTGTAGTCACAAATTATCTATAACAGATGCGAAAGAAAGCGACTGCATCGGAAACCACACGCCTATTGAGTAGTGTAAATACACCAGTCGTTTAGTCCGGAAACCTATGCTGTGTCGTATTCGCTTGCTGGAATGACATAGTGCGTGGTTATATGTTTCTTTTTAAAAACGGGTGTAGGATTTTTGTTGAACTTTTTAACTGTTATTTCTAAGTTTTGGTAATTTGTATATCTTATTTAAAATGGGATACAAATGTGTTTATTTATAATGAAAAAAGCACAAATTTTTTATAGTATAAAAAATTAATTTATTTAACAAAATTTAATTAAAAATGTGACAAAATAGTACCTTTCTATTGGTTCTATCGGACTTTTTTCGACTATATAAATCTTTATTTGTAAACTTTAATACATCAAATATTTTCAATCTAATAAATCATTTAATGATGTAAATAAGAGGAAATTTCTCACATGGGTGGTCAAATTCTATAGTTTTCATTATATCAAACAGCCTCTGAGAAATCTCGAAATTATTTACCCATTTAAAAGCCTTTGATCATGAAAGTGGAAAAATTTGTTCATTTTATTTACTGGAAATGGAAAAATTATTTATATTAAATTTTGATGAGTTTTGCACTGAAGAAAACATTCAAAATCAGAATCACCCATATTAATATTATTTTTTGCTTTTTGCTAAAACTGAACGTTTAACACAAAATTGAACATCAATTAGGCAGGGGCGGGAAAGTGAAATAGCAAAAGCGGTTCCACCGTTTCCACGGAAATTTCAAGTAAAATAGTTCCAGCCTCAGGCGCTAGGTGGTAGTGCAATTAATTTTTAGGTTAAGAAGTTGCCACTAGTTATTGCCAGATGGCGTTAAATCAGATTTTTTTTGTAGTTTCCATAGTTTCCAAGGGCCATTGTCATCCTATTGTCAAATTCTCAAAAAATATTGTCTTTGTCATAGCGTCAATCATAATATTATCAAATGATTATCAAAACGTTTTTCAAACTATAATTTGTTATAATATGTGTTTTAATTAGACAATTCCTTTTGTTTGTGGCCCTAAAAATATAATGTAAGTCTTTTATTGTTGTCATTTAAGTACCTATTTATATTTACTCCATTTACAAAACTTTGGGGGTATTACGTTGGTCTTGTTTTATTATAATAACCGATGTTTAAATATTTGATTTATAAATAAAAACTTTAAATAATAAATAATATTAACACATGTTTGGCTTTAATTTTATTTAATAATTGTATAAAT